AAATGACCCAAAAATGGGGGGAATTGAGGCAAAAAAGAAGAATTTACCTAAAAATGGGGATAATGGAACCAAAAATGGGGGGAATTGGAACAAAAATGGGAAATTGTAGGAAAAGCGGAGAATTGACATGAAAATGGGAAAATTGACACAAAAATGGGGGGAATTGAGCTGAAAAGTGGGAAAATTGACCAAAAAATGATAAAATGGGACAAAAAAAATGCGGGAATTGACCAAAAAAATGGGAAATTTGCATCAAAAATGGGGAATTTACCTAAAAATGGGGGAAAATGAACCAAAAATGGGGAAAAATGACCCAAAAATGGGGGAAAATGACCCATAAATGGGAGGAATTGAGGCGAAAATGGGGAATTGGCACAAAAATGGGAGGAATTTGCACAAAAATGGGAAAATTCACCCAAAAATGAGGAAAATTACTCAAAAAATGGCCAAATGGCAATGAAAATGGTCAAATGGACCAAAATGGGGAAAATTGACCCAAAAAATGGGAGAATGGAAGGAATTCAGGCAAAAATAGGAAAATTGACACAAAAATGGGGAATTTGGGGTGAAAATGGGGAAATTGTAGCAAAAAATGGGAAAATAGAAGCGAAAATGGGTAAAATTGACCCCGACGGTCATCGCCGTCCACTCCCTGGACAGCACCGGACAGTGGGAGAGCTTCGGCCTGGACCGCCGGGCCAAAGCGCTGGACATCGGGAAATTGACCCAAAAAAAGGGGAAATTGACTCAAAAAATTGTAAAATGGCACCAAAAATGGGGGATTTACCTAAAAAATGGGGAATTGACCCAAAAAATGGGGAGAATTGGTGCGAAAATGGGAAAACGGGAGCAAAAAATGGGGAATTGGGGCGAAAATGGGAAAATCGGCAGAGAAATGGGAAATTGAGGTGAAAATGGGAAAATTGGGAGTAAAATGGGGAGAATTGAGGTAAAAATGGGAAAATTGAGGTGAAAATGGGAAATTGACCCAAAAATAGGGAGATTTGACCCAAAAATGGGAAAATTGTAGCAATAAATGGGAAAAAGGAACCAAAAAGGGGAAATTTGCACCAAAAATGGAAAATTTACCTAAAAATGGGGGGAATTGACCCAAAAATGGGAGGAATTGACCAAAAAATGGAAGGAGTTGAGGCGAAAATGGAGAATTTACCTAAAAATTGGGAGAATCGGCAAAAAAATGGGGTGAATTGTGGTAAAAATGGGAAATTGTAGGAAAAGAGGAGAATTGACATGAAAATGGGAAAATTGACACAAAAATGGGAAAATTGACACAAAAATAGGGAATTGACCCAAAAATGGGGGGAATTGACCCAAAAGGGTGAGGACATTGTCCACTCCTCCCATTGACCAACACATGGATGACCTCAGTGACCTCCGGCCACTCTCCGGCCACTCTCCGGCCACCACTGACCACCACTGACCACTCCCCCCGCAGGTTTCACCCAGCAGCTGGCCTTCCGCAAACCGGACAGTTCTTACGCCGCTTTCCTCAACCGTCCGTCCAGCACCTGGTGAGTGACCACCACCACCACTCCGGCCACCGCGGCGGTCATCCATGGCACTGACCAATCCTCTCCGGCCAAAGGCTGACCGCCTACGTGGTCAAGGTGTTCGCCATGGCCAGCAGACTGACCCACATCGAGCACGCCGAGATCTGCCGTCCGGCCAAGTGGCTGGTGCTCGGCCGGCAGAAACCGGACGGAGTGTTCCAGGAGGACGGACCGGTCATCCACAAGGAGATGGTGGTCAGTGGTCAGCGGGGGGGGGAGGGGTGGACGGAGGGTGGACAAAGGGGGTTGTTGGTCGTTTGGTGGGTGGTTTTTGAGTGACCGTTGGGTGACCATTGGTCATTCCTTGGTCATTCCTTGGATGTTCTTTGGGTGACCATTGGTCATTCTTCAGTCATTCTGTGGTTGACCCTTGGGTCAGCCTTGGTCATTCTTGGTCATTCCTTGGTCATTTCTTGGGTGACCCTTGGGTGTACATTGGTCATTCACTGGTCATTCCTTGGTCACTCCTTGGTCATCCCTCGGGGGTCCATTGGTCATTCTTTGGTCATTCATTGAGTGTCCATTGGTCATTCTTTGGGTGTTCTTTGAGTGATTGTTGGGTGTCCATTGGTCATTTATTGGTCATTTCTTGGGTGTCCATTGGTCATTCTTTGAGTGACCGTTGGGTGTCCATTGGTCATTCATTGGTCATTCTTTGGTCATTCCTTGGATGACCCTTGGGTGTCCATTGGTCATTTGTTGGGTGGTCTTTGAGTGACCATAGGGTGTCCATTGGTCATTCTTTGGTCATTCCTTGGTCACTCCTTGGGTGTCCATTGGTCGTTCATTGGTCATTTGTTGGGTGATTTTTGAGTGACCGTTGGGTGACCATTGGTCATTTGTTGGTCATTTGTTGGGTGTCCATTGAGTGACCATTGGTCATTCGTTGGTCATTCCTTGGATGTTCTTTGAGTGGCAATTGGTCATTTGTTGGTCATTCTTTGGTCATTCCTTGGGTGTCCCTTGGGTGTCCATTGAGTGACCCTTGGGTGTCCATTGGTCATTTCTTGGTCATTCCTTTGGTGACCATTGGTCATTT